ACCTGGGATTTACTTTTGAATAACCTAAACGGATATCAATTTAGACCTGTTGAAATTTTGAGGGATGTAGTTATTAGATGCTCAACCTCATACGTGTGGATTCAGACATTTCAAAAGCCTGATGAAAGTTTTATGGCATTCAGTATAAGGAAAATTTCAGTCTGTCTGTATTTTCAGTTTATAACTTCTTTGGTTACTTTGAACCAAATTTGGGAATGGCTTCAGTTTGCTTCCTCTACTGAACACAACTTCAGTGTGCTCCACCTCCACTAGATGAAAATCTAAAAGGGAAAGCACAAACCTGAAAGCGTTTTTATACTTATGTTTATGGACTCAAGAGGAAGTGCCAAGAACTGTGATCTGTCTGCTTGCCGCCTGCTGTTTCACTATCCTGAGTAGTGTGTTGCAACTTGAACCTGATTCTCTGTTGAATTATAAACCTGGTGTGACACGAGCATAATTATGGATTAATTTGCACAAAATCTCCTGTTGTCTTGTACAGTATACTAATGAGTGGTTCTGAACTATTGGATCGTATAGTTGAGCAAATCTTTAATAGAGTGTTCAGTTCTTGGCTTCAAGAAAAGAAATTTAAACATGACTCAATGAACGTTTAGTTACATTATTTGCACTCATACTGGTAGTCGTAATGATACAACAATTATAAGCTAGGAATTTTTTCTACAGCATGATGATCGTCATCTCTTATTTTAATGCCTTCCTCTTCACAAACTCATCTATACAAAAGAAAGCTGACATGTACCTACAGCATGAAAATATCACAATAAATATTCCATGCCGACAAGCCATCAACTCGTCAAACGTCTCCTCTGCATCGAATCCATTCACTGGGCTTCATACTTCCTTTCTTCTGAATCTCACATCACCGAAACAACTGAAGGAAAATGTAACGGTTTAGGTTTCATACTAGGATAATACAGATCTATCCAGTCCAGCAAAGGGGGTGTAGCTCATATGGTAGAGCGCTCGCTTCGCATGCCAGAGGCACGGGGTTCGCAATCGGACAAGCACCGTAAAAAATCTCTTGTCCGATTGCAGGCCAGCAGCCCAGGCAGCTGCTGCACCAGCTGAGCTGCCCTCCTCCTTCTCCACGCGGACCACGCCTGCTGTAGCTGCGACGGCGCCTGTGGCGTCGGAGGGGGCCGCCTGTCCGGCTCGGTTCAGCTGGCGCCGGCGCCAGGGAAGACGAAGCATGCCTCCTCGGATTAGGGATAGGAGTGGCGTGGTGGTGGAGCCATGGAGAAGGGGGCCAGGTAATCGGGTTCAGGACGGCACGACGGCAAGGGAGACGCCGGTGTCGAGTTCTCTACGCCGCAGGCCGGGGTTGATAAGCATAATATCCTTCGCGAAAGTACCATTTCACCCTGCACAATTTAATTAGAGCCGGTTACGGGTTACTAAATTTTAGTTCCGGCTCACAGAACCATCCGATTTAGCTAAACGGATGGCTCTCATTATTTCCGACCACTGTAAAAAATTTTGTATGGTAAATATGTTTCAAAGTAAAATTTGACATAAGAGGTCCAAGTTTAATAAAATAGGAAAATATCAACCAAATTTATAAATATAGTATGCACGAGTAAAATATTCTGGACAGCAAGTAATTTTTTTTTTAATCTTTATCAAGTGGAGTTGTCACAACCTGAAAAGTTGCGGCCCCTTCCAAGCACTCTTGAGCTGGGCTTTGATGCTATTTTTGGTGGATGACTCAAAATGTTTTGTCGACGAACTTTGTAGTTATCATGGTCTTATATGATGGTGAATTGCACTAACCCTATAGGTTTGGTCTGCATCCGACTCATGCCAGCTCAAAGTTGGAAAGCAAGATCTTAGCTTTCATTCTCATGCAACATGAAAAGGCACTGAGGCATGCTTACCGGCACATGGCACATAGATACATATACATAGTAGTGGACACTAATATATCTAGTGGCCATTCTCATTAGTGCACTAGGTAGCATGCCTTTCAATATTTTTCTGGAACATAGTTGAGATCCTACTGATTTGCCACCACTAGAACAATGTTGCTGTCAGGTGGCTTCATTTCATAAAGATGAAAATTGGTGGAAAAAGCATGTCCATGTTCCTTTGAAAAATGCAAGGCCCTGTTTAGTTCCACCAAATTCCCAATTTTGGCACTATGCAAAAAGAAGATTCCCTGTCACATCAAATTTGCGGTACATGCATGGAGTACTAAATATTGACGAAATCAAAAACTAATTGCACAGTTTGGTTGTACTTTACGAGGCGAACGTTTTGAGCCTAATTAGTCAATGTTTGAACAATTATTACCAAATAAAAACGAAAAGTACTGTATTTGGCGTGTATTCGGGAGTACTTTACGAGGCGTGTAGCTACAGTGCCTCCCTGAATTTGGCGGCACCGAATCGGACACCAAACTAAACGTGGCCCAAGTTGAAATTTCAGGGAAGATGGCATGGTAAAATAAAAAACTGATCCTTGGAACGAGTGTCGTTGTGGTGTGATTCAATAGTTTGAAAAGTAGCATGGCCCTGTTCAAACAGTCAAGCCCTTTCCAAAAAGCAGGAAAGACCACATAGGACAGGCTAGGCTAGGCATTTCCACATCTACAAGCAATCTCAAATGGGAATGGGCAGCAACCTCACACCACCCTATAAGGGCTAACATGTCCTCTTTGGTCATTTTGGAGCAGTAACATGAGAGGAGAAATGGCAGCTGCAAAAGGTTGCATTTATATGTATCATGGAAGGTCACTAGATTCTAGTGCAGTGGACACAGCAGAAAATAAGGCTAGGAAATTGTGGGGGCATGCATGTGATTTGCTTGCACATGGGACAGATTGTGTGCATCAGGTCAGGCTGGGGTTTTGGAGTGTCCAAATGCAAGGGCAGCCTCACGCCATGCCATATGCTGTACGTGCGTGATGGATGCAACTGCAATGCATGCTTTGCTGTGCAACATGCCAAGGCGTGCACCTTGTTTGTCCCTTTGTTTGTATCCACTGCATCTGGTGTGAAAACAAAGCTTGGCAAGCTTCTTTTGGCTGCTGTGCTCCTTGACTCACTAATTGATCTTGTCCCTACCAAGTACCAATGTGGCCTTGTTGATATGATTGAGGTGGAAGAAGCAAAACAAATATGCATTGCCTAGGCATTGATATAAGAAAATCAGCATATTTAACTTGCAATTTTAGTTGGTTGATGAGTTGCCACTTTTTTGCCAAAACAATTATAATATGTTCGCTCAAAACTGATTTTTCTTCCACCAACATATATTAAGATGAATGTACCAATATTTTTTCTTCAAAATTACCACTACATAGCTGTCCTTATGTTTTTTCCCCTTGTTAGTGCGACTAGAAGAATTATTGGTTTGGTATAACCTTTTCCTTTTAGATGTCTTGTGTTGCTGTCTTAATTAGCTCCTAAGTCTAATTATTGACAGAGGCCGTAAGTGCGCGTAATGGCCAAAATAAAAGAATGGACACAATGTCAAGACTGAGACGAGTGGATATGTATATGAAGTGTTGTCCCTATCAGTCACAATGCTCTTGGTAGGTTTGTCATGCCTATTGGATAGCAACCTAGTGTGACAGACTCACAGTACAAGATTCTTATACTGGCTAGAACAAAAGTCTAAGATTATTTAGGTAACTTGTCGTTAAGGGACCATTTGGCATGGCTCTCGTACGCTCCAGCTCCGTCACTATTAGCAGCAATGTAGCACGGAGCTGGTGGAGCTAGAATCGTGTCTCCACCAGCTCTTACAGGAGGCGACAGAGTGTCTAGGAGCTATATCAAACAAGGCCTAATAAGACCCCGTTTGGCAGGGCTTCTCCACCGGCTTTAGGAGCCGTTTGGAGCCGTTTTCTATCAAACGGGGTAAAGTAAAATAGCTTCACTTGTGAAGCCCCTAAAAATATGCTCTCACAGTGATTTGGGATGGGATGGAGCCAAAAAAAAAGTGGCTTCTCCCGGCTCCTCCTTCAGGCCCCTAAAAACATGCTCTCACAGGGAATCCATTTTGCCAAACGGTTTACCAAAACCGCTTCAGCTCCACCGGTGGAATTGTTTGTGGAGCTAAAGCCAAAAAAAATGGTTTCACTAGTGAAGTAAAGCCCTGCCAAACGGGACCTAAGAATTGAGAATTATCCCAAATTTTTGGACCTTTTACACAATACACGTCATTTTTTTTCTCATTTTACAAAAAATAGCTTCACGCTTAGGAATAGGAAGCTGTGATTTTTCTCACAATTTTTTAACTAAAAATGTCTTGTTTAATTAATCAGCAGAAAAATGGGAAAGCTTAATATTCCCTCAGTTCCAAATTATAAGTCGCTTTGACTTTTTTGATACATACATTTTGCTATACATCTAGATACATATGTCTAGATACATAGTAAATTCCATGTGCCGAAAAAGTTAAAGAACCTTATAATTTTGAACAGAGACAGTATAAAATTCCTGTGTTTTATGACATATTATTGTATGTTTGTTTGTGCAACTCTCAAAATAAGTATTGATTTTTTTTTGCCTCTCATCTAAGTACAGCGGTAGTATTTGTTCGAATACAAACATACACCACCACACACACACACACCTCACACACACGATATATGAACAAACCTACTGTTAGAAATAATAGACAATATAAACGACGAAGATAAGTAGATCAAATACAGGGGACACGAGATTTTACGTGGAAAACCCTTCTAAGGAAGAAGGAAAAACCACGTGCACCAACCAGCAAATCTTCACTATATCGGGTGAGGTTATAAAAGTCGAGAATTTACAACTTTTCTTATCCCAAGACGACGGTTTACAGGAAGTATATATAGATGGAAAAACTTAGCAACATGAACTGGCTTTATCAACATATCAGCAGGATTATCATGTGAGCTTACCTTACATACCTTCAGCTTACCTTGCGCGACAACACTGCGAACATAATAGTATTTGACATCAATGTGCTTCGTTCTCTCATGGAACATCTGATCTTTAGTGAGACATATAGCACTTTGACTGTCACAAAATAAATTAATGCAAGAATCATCTCCACAAAGCTCAGCAAACAAATCTTTCAACCAAACCGATTCTTTACATGCTTCAGCAACAACCATGTATTCTGCTTCAGTGGTAGAAAGAGCAACAGCGGGCTGCAATGTTGCCCTCCAACTCACAGCACAATTACCAATAGTGAATACATAACCTATTAGAGATCTTCTCTTATCCAAATCGGTAGCAAAATCTGAATCCACGTAGCCAGTGAGTCCCTTATCAGTCTTGCCAAACTTCAAACAAGCATTTGTTGTGCCACGAAGGTACCTGAAAATCCACTGAACAACCTTCCAATGTTCTTTACTAGGATTAGCCATGTATCTACTAACAAAACTCATAGCATATGATAAATCAGGACTAAAGCAAACCATGGCATACATCAAAGAACCAACAGCACTAGAATATGGAACTCTTGACATGTACTTAAAATCCTCATCCGTACTAGCACATTGTAAAGCTGATAATTTAAAATGAGGAGGAATAGGAGTACTAACAGACTTTGCATCATGCATGTTGAAACGATGAAGAACTTTCTTAATATAACTTTGCTGACTAAAAAATAATAAATCAGAATTTATATCTCTTGTAATCTCCACACCTAAAATTTTCTTAGCAGCACCAAGATCCTTCATATCAAACTCACTACTCAACAGTTTCTTCAACGTAGTGATTTCTTTCTGGCTCTTGGCAACAATCAACATATCATCAACATATAACAGTAAGTATATAGGTGATCCATCAATAAATTTAATGTACACACAGCTATCAAATTCAGACCTCTTAAAATCATATGACATCATAAAAGAATCAAACATTTTATACCATTGACAAGGAGACTGTTTCAAACCATATAAGGACCTCTTTAATTTGCAAACATGATTCTCCTTACCAGGTACTATGAACGCTGCTGCCTGGTCCATGTATATCTCCTCCTCGAGCTCTCCATATAGAAACGCAGTCTTTACATCTAACTGATCAAGCTCAAGATCTCGTATAGCAACAATACCGAAAAATGTATGAATTAAACTATGCTTTACAACTGGAAAGAACACATCATTATAATTAACATCAGAAATCTGACTGAAGCCTTTTACTACTAACCTTGCCTTAAATCTTGTAGGCTCACTAGGAGGCAAACCCTCCTTTCTCTTGAAGATCCATTTGCAACGAACGACCTTTTTTTGTTTAGGCAAGCGCACAACATCCCATGTGTTATTTTTTCGAGTGACTGCATCTCCTCTTGCATAGCGGAAATCCACTTCTCGCGGTCACCAGAAACAACAGTTTCAGTGTACGTAGCCGGCTCATGAATATTCCCCACCTGTTTAGCACAACTAAAGGCATAATGAATAATATCGCATTCCTCAATTAAACATGGAAGAGGTCCACAATTCCTCTTTGTTCTGCGATCTGCAATAGACTGATTTTGAGGCTGCAAAATAGGAGGTGAGCGCTGAACAATATCATAAACATTGTTATCAACAATTTCAGTTTTCTGATCATATACGTGCTCCATCTGCACGCTAACATGTTGCTGCTCCTCATCAGAACCAACTGGAGAAACGTCTGTGGACAAGCTGTCATTAAACATAACAGATTCATTGAAAATAATGTTCCTGCTCATGAAAGTCTTTTTAGTTTTAGGATTCCATAACTTATATCCTTTAACTCCATAACCATAACCAAGAAACAGACACTTAATGGCTCTAGGTTCTAGCTTTCCATTATCAACATGAGCATAAGCAGTGCAACCGAAAACTCTCAACTGTGAATAATCAGTAGGCATACAAGACCATACCTCAATGGGAGTTTTCTTATTAAGTGGGATAGAAGGTGACCGGTTGATCAAGTAACAGGCGGTGTTAGTAGCCTCAGCCCAAAAACGCATGTTCATACGAGCATTGGACAGCATGCAGCGAGCCCTCGAGATGATGGTTCGGTTCATGCGCTCAGCCACACCATTCTGTCGAGGTGTGTACGGGATGGTGTGGTGCCTGACAATGCCTTCTTCCCTGCAGTAATCATTAAAAGCATCCGAACAGAATTCACCCCTATTGTCAGTACGAAGCAATTTTACCTTCTTTTCAGTTTGCCTTTCTATCATAACTTTCCACTCCTTAAAAGCAGCAAAAGTATCATCATTATTTTTCAGAAAATAAGGCCACACTTTTCTAGAGTAATCATCAATAATGGTAAGTATGTAACGAGCACCACCACTAGAGGGCTTACGAGACAGCCCCCACAAATCAGCATGTACATAATCAAGTGTACCTTTGATGGTATGAACAGATGCATTGAATTTTACCCTCTTGTGCTTACCAAAAACACAGTGCTCATAGAACTTTATCTTACCCAAAGTACAGCCATCCAGCAGGTCTCTCTTGATCAATTCTGTCATACCAAGTTCACTCATATGCCCAAGACACATATGTCAGAGATTAGTTTTACTTGTTCATCATTAGAAACAGCAGCAGCAGTGATGGAACCATGTAAAGTGCTTCCTCTAAGAACATATAACTTTACAAAATTCATATCACCTATCATATGAATGAGAGAGCCTTTTGATACCTTACATACTCCACCTGAACCGGAGTATCTGTACCCCTTGGCATCAAGTATGCTGAGGAAGATGAGATTTCTAGCTATCCCTGGTATGTGTCTCACATCTTTCAGTGTGCGTATCATGCCATCATGCATCTTGATATGAACGGAGCCAATGCCCACGATCTCACGTGGGTTGTTATCTCCCATACGCACGACATCTCCACTCTGTACAGAATCATAAGAACTGAACCAATCTCTGTTAGAGCATATATGAAATGAGCATGCAAAATCAAGTATCCATTCATCACGACCAGCAACACAACCAGCAAAAACAACAAGAATGTCTCCTAAATCAAAACCATCAACAGCAGCAGAGACAACAGAGGCCTTACCATCACCATCGGATTTGTTTTTTGGTTTATATGTACCGTTTCTTTTCTCCTTATTCTACAGCTTACAACAATCCTCAATGACATGAGTATCTTTCTTACAATACCTACAGAACTTATCCCTATCTCTGGACTTCGAACGGCCTTTACCGTTTTTGCTCTTGTCTCAATTATTATTGTTGTTGTAGGTTTTCTGCTCGGGCCTGCCTCTAACCTGCAACACTTCGCCCTTGGAGGATGACACATCAGACTGAACCATACCTTTCATCTTCTCCCTCGACTGGAGGGCCTCATATACTTCTGCAAGGGTTAGTTCATCATGGCTTAATAGTATGGTATCTCGGAAATTTGCAAACGAACTAGGCAGTGAGCATAACAGTAGAAGAGCTAAATCTTCATCGTCATATTTTACCTCCATCGACACTAGGTCGGCAACGATCTCCTTAAAGATCGATAAGTGGTTCATCACCAAACCACCTTCTTGCAGCTTGTGCGTGAACAACTTTATCTTCACGTGCATCTTATTGGTTAGATCCTTGGACATGCAGATTGATTTTAGCTTGAGCCAAAGTTCTACGGTAGTTTTCTCCTGCAGCACTTCTTGCAAAAAATCATTATGTAGATGAAGTTGAATCAGAGACAGAGCCTTACGATCCTTCTGCTTCTCTTCAGCGGTCCATGACTTCTGCCCTTTGCCTCCGAAACCATCCAACGCCTCATCAAGATCCGAAGATTGTGCTAGAATCGCCCGCATCTTGACTTGCCACAGCACAAATCTCGTCTTGTAATCCAGTAGCGGTAGATCAAACTTCATCGATGCCATCGTGAAACCCTAATGTGAAACCAAGCTCTGGTACCACTTGTTAGAAACGACAGGCAATATAAACGACGAAGAACAGTAGATCAAACACAGGGGGCATGAGATTTTAACGTGGAAAACCCTTCCAAGGAAGAAGAGAAAAAACCACGGGCACCAGCCAGCAAATCTTTACTATATCGGGTGAGGTTACAAACGTCGGAGATTTACAACTTTTCTTATCCTAAGACGACGGCTTACAGGAAGTATATATAGATGGAAAACCCTAATAGGCGACGATCCATACCGCGGGAGGGGGGGCGTGGCGCGGTAGGGAAACATGATGGGCTAACTTCAGCCTCCGCTTCGCTTCGGCCCAAGCCTCCCGACGACGGGCCTCGCTTCGCTCCAACAGAAGTTAGTCTTTATCTTGTACATAACTAAATTTGGATCACAACTCAACATCTACAACTATACCTAGACAACGTACGCAGCTGAGAGATACTCGAAGATCATCAGACTCCGAGAGCGTGATGGACACGTCACTTAACCATTATGGCATATCTGCGCGACAGACAACTGAAATTATTAACGGAGAATAAATCTCGAAAGCGAGGGACGAGCACTGAGTCTGGGACTCGAACGCTGGTCGGCGCGGAGCAAGCCACGGGCTCCTACCACTCGCGCTACGCGCGGTCCTCAGTATTGATTTATTTAGTGCACGCACACGGCATGACAAAGCAAAGCAACAAAGTTGAGAGGCCCACAAACAGAGGTCTCACACCTTTGGTGACCTTACAAAGAGCCCAGAAGCAAGCGTGCAAGCGCATGGTAGGAAGGATAGATAGAGACGGAGGAGGCGGAGGCCGTGTATTTGTATATAATATGCAACAATACGCATGCCGCAACAAAAACAAATGGGACGAGGGGGATGGATGGGTCGTGAGATAAACAATTTTGTTGCGACTCGTGTGTGAGTGAATGCGGATGGAGCAGGGTTAATTAGGTAAAGCCGGCCGTAAAGGTGGCCCATGGTGCCTCACCCACCAATCATAAAATAGGTCTCATCCAACTTTCTCTTGTGGCTGTTGTGGCCTTTGTTCTAGGGTGGGAGTGTGGGACATCGAATCCATGCATAGGAAAGCCCTGTTATTATTTTATAAAACAATCTCTGCACCATAGTCGACACATACATCAACGGCGGTTAGTGATGGTGCTAAGAAAATATTCTTGTCAATCACAATACAATATTTCTTCTAAAATCCACAAGAGACACATATAACGGTTTTGCTCAATATATATTTTGAGATATATAAGAGTTGTCCACAAATCTTTCCTGAGACTTGTTATTATTATTATTATTATTATTATTATTATTATATATATATATATATATATATATCAAGAAGTAATAGACTAAATCGACAATACTCCCTTCATCCATAAAAAAAATACAATTTTGATATATATGCTAGTCAAACTAGTTATAGTTTGACTAAGTTTATAATGAATAATATTAACATTTGTATCTATAGTAAAATTTATTATAAAAATATATTAAATAATTAATAATTAATCTAATGATACTTATTTTGAATCATGAACGTTTGTAAATTTTAATATAACTTTAGTCAAAGTTTAGATTCCTTGACATCTCGAGAAGAGAATTGCATTCTTTTGTGGATGGATGGAGTGTTTAACCTTACCTGAGGCATACAACATACTTGTGCAGAACGGGATCCAGTAAAAATTTCAAAACTTTATTATAGTATGTACTCGCTCCTCTTTAAAATTATACTAAGTCATTTTTTTAGAAAGCTAAAACAATTTATATAATTTAGAAAAGATGGAGTACATACTATAGTAATAAAGTGTAATAATATTAAAGTCTGAAGGAGAATACGAATGTGTTAGGCCTTCTCCAACGCTATTTTTTACTTCTCCGACGCTATGCTTTTACTTGTAGCCCCAAGTGCCATGTTGGATTAGATAAAAAAAGTAGGTGCTCTATACCCCCTCTGTTCCAAAATAACTGTCGTTCTCGCTTTCTGAGAAATAACTTTGACTAATTTTATATAAAAATATATTAATATATATAATACATAATTTATATCATTAGATAGATCTTTAAATCTATTTTTATAATAAATTTATTTGAAGATATAAATGTTGCACGTATTCTCTATAAATCTAGTCAAACTTACAGCACGAAAACCCAAAACGACAATTAATTTGGGACGAAGAGAGTACTTGTCATAGTGGCTTACAGAAGCTATATATATATATATATATATATATATATATATATATATATATATATATATATATATGCCTGGGAGAGAGAAGGTGGTCCATGCTAAAAAAGAAGAGGGAGAAGAAATAAAGGTGATGCACAATGAAAACAAAAAGTTTCTATGCAAACTACAAATAGTGGTAGTTTGTATTATGTGAATAGTAGTCTTAATATTTTCTAGTACACGTCGGTCACTTTATTTGTATTAGAACCATTGGTGGTGCCCATAGTAGATTACTACCTAGCTAGATAGTACGATGACAGTGAGATTAGCTATGTCACTTGTTTGTACCTTCCATACAATTTTCGTTTCCTCTTGTACCCTCTCCCTCTCTATGTCTGTCTCTCCCTCCCATCAGTACCTTGTACTGTACCTCTGAAGCTCAACCGATCGACACCTCTCCCTCTCTTTAACATTTTTTTGCTTGAAGCAAGCACCTTCCCTTTTCTCTACCTCGCCTCCATATATACGCCATTGTGGCGCTCCGCTAGACGCGACGCCCATGGGGGGCCTGACCTAATGTAGGGGCAGGAGAAAGCCCACTGTTCCATCTCTTTCTCGGAGTAGGAGGGCACCAAGGCCCAGCGCCCCTCGCCCCCACCAGATTGGGGGAATTCGCGCCTCATCCGATCGTCACCGGCCGCCGAAGCGCAAGAAGCAGCGGACGGTATCCTCTCCGTCTCTCTCTCTATACCCAGAGTTTCTTGGTTACTGATTTGTGGGAAAGATTTGATTTTTGGTGTATTGTTTCGTCGGCCTGAATCTCTGTTCAATCTGTTTTTGAAAGCGTCAGGACTCTGGAGGACACGGCGGTTCGGTGGATTCGGAAAGGGAGGATCTTTTCTTGGATTTCTGTTCTTGAGGAGAGGTATAATCGCATCGTCTTCCCCCCATTTATGTTTATTTTCATTTACTCACAGGGACCGGATTATTTGGTGATTTTTTTTTGTCTGTGCTTCATGCATTGATTTGCGGATTAGTTCTTGATTTTGTGCGGCTTCAAGGATTAGTAGTAGCCATTAGGCGTGCGTTTCGTGGTGCGGTTTTTGGTAAAATTTGGTTGGTAGATAGTGCTGTTCTTGGCTACCATGCCTGTGCTGCTTGCTTTATTTGTCTGTGCCCGCCTTTAATGATCGTGATGTGGCCCTTTCCGCGGCAAATTGAATGTGGTGGCCAAAAATCAATGTTTTCTCTCTGGAAAATAATAGAGAGGTTCCATTTGTGATGGAGACGTTACTGTCCATATTCCTGCTATTTGTTCCCCCCGAGATCCGTTTCATTAGTAGCTGTTTCTGACATTTAGTATCTGTTTATTGATCTCATGACACAAGACAAATATACGGGTCGACAAAAGTTTTTTTTTATAATATTAACAAGTAAAAGAGAGAGAAGACTGCGCAGACCTCTGCCATTTGTTAATCTTATTACCGCCTTCCCTGTTGTTGAAAGGTTCGGTCAGGTTGGATTATTTTCCTTTTCATCTGGGCGAGTTTTAGTCTGTTAAAGAAATGGCATACTTTTGGTGTTTGGTTCTCGTCAGTTGTGATGAGCTGTGAAGTTCCCTTGAGATGTAGACAGCCACCAAGATGTTTTCATCATATTTGCATACATGATTGTACAGATTATAGAGTCTAGATAAACTTGAGTAGTACCTAACCTGAACATTGCTGTTCTATTTACATGTATTCTCTACTCAGAAAATTTCGTTGGGCTGAAAATACTTACTAGTTAGCTCTACATTAGACGTTTCCATATTGCTATAGCTTCATCCCTTATTTTATTGCAATATTATCTCTTGCAGGGTCTTGTACTAGCTACTGTGTTATTCACTGGATGTTGGCAATGGGGTCAGAAGAGTGGGAGCTGTATCCTTCTTCCTACATTGGTTCACAGGTCATAGAATACAGACCGGTCTCTGAAGACAGCGATGATGATCAGAATGGGGATGTGGCAGTGTCGCTGGACGCTGTTCTCCCTGATGATCTCTTGGAGAAGGTTCTTTCCTTCTTGCCTGTTGCAAGTATTATAAGATCTGGGTCTGTTTGCAAAAGGTGGCATGAGATTGTGCATGCCCAGAGGCACGCATGGAGCAAAATGGTGCCTCAGAAGCCATGGTACTTCATGTTTACCTGTAGTGAGGATGCAGTTTCAGGTTTTGCCTATGATCCAAGCCTCCGCAAATGGTATGGATTTGATTTCCCTTGCATTGAGAAGAGCAACTGGTCTACATCCTCATCGGCCGGGTTGGTGTGCCTTATGGACAGTGAGAACAGGCGCCGCATTTTGGTGTGCAACCCCATCACTAAGGACTGGAAGAGACTTATTGATGCTCCTGGAGGCAAAACAGCTGATTACAGTGCTCTTGCCTTTTCTGTGGACAGAAGTTCTCATCATTACACTGTGGCTGTTGCAAGAAGCAACCAGGTTCCATCGGAATATTATCAATGGGAGTTTACCATCCATTTGTATGAGTCGGCCTCTGGTAGTTGGGTGACTCCCTTCACTGGAGTATTGCTTGGATGGAGAGGTGGCGACGAGTGTGTCATCTGTGATGGAATCCTCTACTATTTGGTGTACTCCACAGGAGTTCTGGTGAACAATAATGAGCATCGCCATTGTCTTGTAATGTATGATCTCACTGCAAGACCTAACCACACTTCTCTGATGAGCATGGCTATTCCAGTGCCATGTGCTCTTACATGTGGCCGATTGATGAACCTGAGTGAGAAGCTT